CCGACGCTTCTATTCAGAGCCCCAAGAGCATCCTCGTGTAGAAGGCAGATCATTTGGGCACTCCAAGGGGGAGCAGCCAGGGATCGTTCTGTCGCAGTTGAGATTCGTTCACTCTGACGCGCACAGACGGAAGCGTCAGGAACTGAGATGCACACAATTATGAGGATCTCCGCGTCGAATGATTCCATCCTCGGAAGCGTACCGGTCGTTAACCGACCCCCCCAAGGTAACAGTAACGGTCGTGCGTGGGTGGGTGGGTGGGGCCTGTCCCCCCCCCCTGTTGGGCCCCAATCCCCCCTCCCCTTCGATAGCGACCGTTACCCCAAATAAGCAAGTGGCACGCGTGCCATGGCTCTTGCACGTAGACGACTTGGGAGGAGGAGGAGGAGGAGGAGGAGGAGGAGCAGGAGGAGGAGGAGGACGTTGAGGAAGAGGGGAGAGGGAGGACGAGAAAAGGAGACAGAGGAGAAAGGCGGGGAGGATCCTGAGGGGCCACACAAGAGGGAATCAAAGGGCGACTGAGAGAAGGAGGACAGGGGAGGCAGAGGACGGCGCGGTGTTGGTGCCGCGCCGTGCCGTGCCAGAATGAGGCAGTCGAGGTGGTGGAGGCGAGGATGAGCTGGGCTGGCTGCGGAGGGCGAGGAGGAGGAGGAGGAGGAGGAGGAGGAGGAGGAGGAGGAGGAGGAGGAGGAGGAGTTGAGGGCCGAAGGGCTTACTCTCGGGAGCCAGGGCTGGCGGCCACCATGGCTAGTGGGTCCGAGGCCGTTTTAGCCTCAACATTTTGGCACTGCTGCCTCCGTGCCAGGTCGCACCCTCGAGGCTCCGACTCGCAGGGATGGCCCGCTCCACTTCGTCCCTGCTCGCCTGCACGGTTGCGGCCGCCCTGGCGGCGTACGTTGGTTCGCGCTCGCTGTCGTTTGTCGGCGCCTCGGCGACGCCGGCGCTGCGGTCATCGGCTCCGTCGGTCGAGAGGGCGGGCTACGGCGGGGCTCCTGGCGGCAAGCCCTTCTGGTCCCAGTGGGAGAAGGGCGACTACTACCTGAAGCCTCCTCCGGGCACCCTGCAGGGGTTCGAGTACGGGCGGAACCAGCTGGCAGACGGGCGCACCGCGGGGGATGAGAAGAAGACCAGCAGCGGTGGATCGGACATCTCCATCGTCGTGCTCTTGACCGTCTTCTTCTTCGCCTCGGTCTACGCGAACGACAGCGGCTTCTTCAACCCCTGAGCAGAGTCCCCTCGAGCCGAGCCTGCACTGGCCCGCGCAGAGCAGCGGCAGTCTGTGGGCTCCCGCAGGCTTGGACTTGTGCACCGTAGCGCGGGCATCTTTTTCTCGATCGAGCCGCCCGCCGATACCTCATCAGCAGGTCCGATCGACCTCAGACTAGTCTGGCGACGACAAACTGTCGTCGCAGCTGCGTCTTGATTTATGTCTGGCGTCTTCGCTCCGCTGGCTAATAACAAATCGTGGCTGCAGTGAGGGCCGGTCCTAGAACCAGCGTCGATCAGGACTAGCGGGACCAATGGAGGCCAGCAGTGGCAGGGGCCAGCGGGGTGTGGTCGCTGCCAGTCCCCGCATCCTCCACCGATTCACTCTTTCCCCAAATCAGTCCCTGCACCATTTAGGGTTTTTTTTTTTTACCTCTCTTGCCAAGGAATGGGTGCGTCGAGGGATCGCCTCGTTCTGGCCCGTTGCTGCCCGTCGGCCGCGCGTTGCCTCTTGGATGGGTGCGTCGAGGATTTGTCACGTGTTCCCGCCCGTGGCCGCCCGTGGGCCGCCCGTCGCCGCCGCCCGTTGCCGCTTGCGCGGGTGCGTCGAGGACTCGCCACGTTCCAGCCCGTTGCCGCCTCGTGCGCTCCCGCATCCAGTTGGGGGACTTTTTTTGGTTCGCGGCTCCAAGGCGAGGGACAGGGAGCGGGCACAACGTCCGGGGCGCGGTACGATGTAAATTGGCCGCAGTGGCGTGTGCACATGCCAGGGACAAAATGCCCCTCATGAAGACGCAAGACAGCGTCGGCAGGTGACCAGCCCAGACATCCCGGCAGGTGGGGAAGCAGAGGCGCGGCGACCGGCAGCGGAACGGGGGGGAGAAGTCGCCCTTGCGGCGCCAAACTCCAGCCGAACCACATTCGGAAGCAAGGCCAAGACGGACAGCGGGGCACTGTAAAGCCTCCAGTTGGGAGACGCGAAGCGTCACGACTACGAAAAGCTGGGTCCCATTGAGTGGGACCCAGCCTTCTGCCAGAATTCGTGAGGACGCGAAGCCTTGCCACATGGTTCCACCACATACCATCCATATAGTTTCTACCGCATAGCTTACACCACTTCATCACTCACTTCCACAGCTCTTACCACATAGTTTATACGCCTCGTTGCCGCGATGTTGCCGCCCGTTGCTGCCTCGTTGCTGCCTCGTTGCCGCCTCTTGGGCTGTGTGGCTCTCTCGAGGATTCGCCCCGTTGCCGCGCTTGCCGCCCCGTTGCCGCCACGTGGCCGCGACGAGCACGAGGGATGAGGAGGGTACTTTCTACTCAAACAGTGCTTGCAATCAGGGGCGAGTGCTCATCTTACCAAGGAATTGGATGGGTGCGTCGAGGATTCGCCACGTTGCCACCCGTTGCCGCCCGATGCCGCCCGTCGCCGCCCATGACCGCTTGCGTGTGTGCGTTGAGGATTCGCCATGTTCTGGCCCGTTGCCGCCCGTCGCCGCCCGTCGCCGCCCGTCGCCGTCTATGTGGGTGCGTCGAGGATTCGCCACGTTCCAGCCCTTTCCCGCCCGTTGTCGCCCGTCGCCGCCCGTTACCGCTTGCGTGGGTGCGTCGAGGATTCGCCACGTTCCCGTCCGTTGGCCGCCCGTTGGCCGCCCGTTGCCTCTTGGATGGGTGCGTCGAGGATTCGCCACGTTCCCGCCCGTTGCGACCCGTTCTCGCCCGTTGCTGCCCGTTACCGCTTGCGTGGGTGCGTCGAGGATTCGCCACGTTCCCGCCCGTGGCCGCCCGTTGCCGCCTGTTGCCGCCCGTTGCCGCCCGTCGCCGCTTGCGTGGGCGCGTCGAGGTTCGCCTTGTCTCCGCCTGATGCCGCCCGTTCCCGCCCGTCGCCCCCCGTCGCCGGTTGCTGGGGTGCGTCGAGGATTCGCCGCGTTCCAGCCCGTTGCCGCCCGTTGCCGCTTGGGTAGGCGCGTTGAGGTTCGCTGTGCCCCCGCCCGTTCTCGCCCGTTGCCACCCGTCGCCGCCCGTTGCCGCCCTTTGCCGCTTGGGTGGGCGCGTCGAGGATTGGCCACGTTCCGTCCCGTTGCCGCCCGTTCCCTCTTGGGTGGGCGCGCCGAGGATTCGCCATGTTCTGGCCCGTTGCGCCCGTTGCCGCCTGTTTCCGCTCGTCGCCGCCTGTGTGGGTGCGTCGAGGATTCGCCGCGTTCCCGCCCGTTGCCGCCCGCCGCTGCCCGTTATCGCTCGCGTGGGTGCGTCGAAGATTCGCCGCGTTGCCGCCCGTTGGCCGCCCGTTGCCGCCCGTCGCTGCCGTTGCCGCCAGTTGCTTCTTGGGTGGGTGCGTGGAGGATTCGCCACGTTCTGGCCCGTTGCCGCCTCGTGCGCCCCCGCATCCAACGGATAGACGCGAATCGTCAAGAATAGCCACGAAAGCTGGGCCCCATTTAGTGGGACCCAGTTGTCTGTCAGAATTTGTGAGGACGCGAAGCGTCGCCACATGGCTTCCACCACCACACAGCTTACACGACGTAGCTTTCACCACACAGCCTCCATCGCATAGCCTTCACCACATAGTTTCCGCCACATAACTTCTACTAAAACTCACTGTTTGGGGTCCGCGCTGGCAAGCATGATCTTCTCAATTTGATCGGAATACGAGACACCTACAGCGAATCACCGCCGACCCCTGCCTTCCAGAAGCGCCGAACGTTGTGGCCAGAGTTCGGCCAAGTAATCGGACTACGCTTGGGCAGATCGAGCCAGGATGAAACATATCCCCCTCACGGTCCCAAGCCTGACTCCCGCTCCCAGCACGCCGGCATCCCCGGCTAGGGGTCGGGTTGGGCACGAACGATTGCGGGCATCGGGGGCGGGTCTGGCCAGGGGGGGCTTGGGAGTCCAGATCCTGAGCGTCGAGAGAGCGGCGAGGACATGACCGCATCTTTGGCCCCTGCCTGGGGGTTCGACATGTTGCCTTCCCTGGGCAAGCACAATCAAGCAACTGCTGCTGCTGCTGCTGCTGCCTCCTGCTCCTGCTGCTGCTGCTGCTGTTGCTGCTGCTGCTCCCCCTCCCCCTCCTCCTCCCCCTGCTCCTCCTCCTCCTCCTCCTCCTCCTCATCCTCGTCCTCGTCGTCGTCGTCGTCGTCGTCCTCCTCCTCCTCCTTCTCCTCCTCCTCCTCCTCCTCCTCCTCCTCCTCCTCCTCCTCCTCCCCCTTCCCCTCCGCCTCCTCCTCCTCCTCCTCCTCTTCCACTTGCTGCTTCCCCTTCTCCTCCCCTCTATCCGCCTTGCTCTTCCTTCGTCTTTTACCTGCCTCCTCCCTCCTCCTCCTCCTCCTCCTCCTCCTCCTCCTCCTCCTCCTCCTCCTCCCTCCTCCTCCTCCTCCTCCTCTCCTCCTCCTCCTCCTCCTCCTCCTCCTCCTCCTCCGTGTGTCAGGCGGTTGCCTGGCTGCAGGTGGGTGGGTGGGGGGGGGCGGCCGGGAGCGGAAGGAGCGGAAGGAGCATTGATACATAGTCTTAGCAGGTCGACCCTTCCAGTTCGGGGGCAGCCTGTGTGTCCTCTGCTTCGCGACCCATGTCCTCTGCATTCCTCTGGCAACGTGGCCCTCGAAAGGGGCTTCTGTCCTCTCGCGTGTCCTCCCCAATTAACTCGATTGCAGAGAGAGAGAGAGAGAGAGAGAGAGATAAGAGAGAGAGAGAGAGAGAGAGATGGGGAAGAGAGAAAGAGAGAGAGAGAGAGAGAGTGAGAGCTAGAGCGAGAGCGAGAAAGAGAGAGAGAGAGAGAGCCAACGCGAGCCGAG